TCCTCCTCCTCCTCCTCTTCTTCCTCATTCTCTTTTTCCTCTTCTTCACTTTCATCCTCATTTTCACTTTCATCCTCATTTTCACCCTCTCCCTCCTCACTACTCTCCTCCTTTGCCTCCTCCTCTTCCTCCTCAGCACTACTTTCCTCCTCCTCCTCTTCTTCCTCCTCCGATGACTTTAAGGACTCACTTTCACCCTCCTCTTCCTCACTTTCCAAACACCCCTCTTCTTCCTCTTCATTTTCAGACTCTCCTTTGCTCTCCGTCTCATGACTCAACCCTTCCTCACTTTCTTCCTCCTCCTCCTCTCCTACATCCCCTCCTTTGCTCTCCTTTGATTCCGTCTCGTCTTCACTTTCACTTCCTGCTGTGTCGCTTGCTTCCTCCTCCTCCTCCTCCTCCTCCTCTTCCTCCTCTACCTCGTCCTCACTGCTCTCGTCTTCCTCAGCACTGCTTTCCTCCTCGCCTTCATCACTTTCTGACTCATCCTCTGGTTGAAGAGTGTTGTCGTCTTCGCCATCATCTTCTTCTTCTTCTGTTAGTTTCTCGATACTGTGACTGACATCCTCATCCTCCTCCTCCTCCTCCTCCTCACTGACTTCTGCACTAGTCCTCTTCCCTTCCTCCTCCTCCTCCTCCTCATCTTCCTCCTCCTTCTCTTGCTTTGCAGAGTCCTTCCTCTCCTCCTCCCTTCCACTCGTCTCCTTCTCCTCCTGACTCTCAGGTATGATGTTGATGCTGATGACTGATTTCTTGAAGTCTGCAGCGTAGGATTCTGACTCTTCGCTCCGTGGTTTGGTGGCGCTCTCTTTCAGGACGCCACGGCTGCCCTCGGACGGCGACGGCGAGCTTTTGGACGCGACCTCGTGCACGAACACCGACCCCGCCGCAAGAGCAGCAGCTCCGACGAGCAGGCCGAGCTTTGACGCCTTTCCTGTTTTTGACTGAGCCTCTTCTTGGTTTTTCTCGTTCTTAGATTTCTTTACAACATCAGCGCTCTCCTTGAATTCAGATGTGTTTTCCCCCTCAGGGAGATGAAGCCCAGGTGTGTGAGCGCGTTCACCTGGCGAGCTACCTCCTGCACTTTCCACGACTATCGGTTTGCTTTTAACTCGGACAGGTTTGGACTGCGTCACGTTCAGAGCAGGTTCAGAGACAGCTGAAGGCGTCTTCCTGGTTTCAGGACTTCGTTCAGAGTCTGGTTCCGGCTTCCTGCCGACCTCGATCAGCTGGCCTTTCCCCTGAGCCGGCCTGAGCCGCTGCTTGGACGCTGCCTTCCTGATGTCTCCTACACTCGGCTTGTCTCTACTGAGCTTCCCCTGCAGCTCCTCCATGGCCACCACCACATTCTCTTTGTTCCGATTGGTTGTTTTGCGTCCGCGTGGACGAGGAGAGACGGCCTTACGCTCCCGAGACGGGGACGTCGAAGAGAAGCTGCTCTGCTTCAACAGCTGTCTCTCCTGTTGTGGGTTCTCTTTAGCGGCCTTACCGTGCTTACCCTCCCTCTATCCCCGGCACCAGGCAGCAAGAAGAGGGTGGAAAAGAGGCATGCATTAGAGAGGAGAAGAGCTGTGCAGAAGAACCAAAAGAGACGTCATTAAAGGGATAGTTGTGATGTTTAGAAGTGTGGTTCTATGAGGTTCTGATCCAGCAGATGGAGCAAAGGAATGTTCTGCTTTTAGACACCTAAGAGAATCATATAGAATATAGAATATGTTCCCCTCTTTACCTTGCTGTCAGACCTTTGTTATCCATCGTCTCTTCAAAGCCACGGGAGCTGCTGTGAGTTAGTAATACACGTCACAACATCACAACTATCCCTTTAAGTGAGAAGGTTTCCTCCAACAACAGGGACGTTTAGAGAAGCTGTTTAGTCTTTGAACCGGGAACTTAAACACAGGAAAGCTGTGTACAGTTCAGGGTACGTGAGAGAAGACGTCAGGAGAATGACGGTGAAGACTGGAATCATTAAAACATCTTCAATGAGTGAGTTACCTTCTGAACTGGAGACAGAGTGAGTGTTTGATCACCGGGGACCATCTTCATCACGTGTGTCTATCAGGAGGAAGAACAAATGAAGGACAATGAGCAGCAACATCCAGCATGTTGCAGGTACGAGACGGTGCGTTCACTGATCTCTCACCATGTTGAGGAAGTCGGAGGTTTCTCCCAGGCCTTTAACGCTGTCGC